GCTACTAGTGCTTTTATCTATAAAACTCTGCTTCTTTTTGTATGCTTGTTTAGTGTGGGATGAATGGAGACAGCCTACTGTTTTACTGCAGACTTCCCTGCTCTTACTAATTGCCATTCAGACTGAAATTTCCACGTTGGCTCATGATGAATCCGTAGTCTATATGCAGTGCTTGAGAGATATTTCCGTATCCTGAAATAACAGGAGGGATGTGATACATTGCTTCATGATTCTGTGGTGCTCCGCAACCCACAGGATGGAGGACAGATGTCACCGAACTGTTGCACACCAAAACAGTCACTGTGCAATGATCCTTCATCAAAAGCCAATACGGTTGAACTGACACACAGGTTTCCATGCCAGGTAAAAATAACGGGTGTATGTATTTTTAGTGTATGTGTGTAAGGAGAACACAATTCTTTGGTGCCTTCCACAGTTCCTGGCATCGGTCTTAACAAAAAACAAAAGAGTGAATACTGACCTCCAGATGACCCAACTTTGAATCTCAGTGATTTGCAGTCTGACAGCACAATTTGCTTGTCCCTAAGTTAGTTTTTATGTGAGGAACAGGCAAAGACACAATAAAATATTGCCCCAAGTTTGCAAACTGAATCAGCCAAGTTCTAGTCTGTCAAAAACAGCAGTAGGTGGGGGGCAGACTTACCCTTGTCCTGATAACCCATGTTCATGCAGGCTGAGAAGGTAGCAGGGAACAAGGGAAGGCCTGCAAAGGCCTGCAAAGCAGATTTCAGGTAAGCTTGGCTGCCAAGGAGGCATCGAGCTAGTCCAATTTTTCTGCAAACGCTCCACGTCTAACTGTTTCAGGGATATTTAAAGTCATGTTTTCAAAGCACACCATTACAGAGAGCCCTCTGGGAAGAGCTGGCTGCTCATTTTAGTGCCCAAAAATGCAGGGTAAGCTGTTATGAAGATCTGGCCCTGTTTGTGGCTGCTGAACTATTTCAAAAGCCAAACCCTTTATTCATATAAACACCAAACTGCCTGATGTCAAGTCAGGTTTGCAAGATAAGATAAGAGCACTTCAGTGAGGAATAAATGGAGAAGAGTTTATGGAAACTGAGTTATGGTAAATAGATAGCATCGAGAAGGGGGTTTTAAGTGGTGCTGTGCATAGCTGAGGTGGATAGGGAGTGTATATATATTTTTCAGAGCTGTGGGAGAAGATGAGTGGAAAGCCAGGGGTTCCCTATCCTTGTCTTTCTAGTGGCCAGGAGCCCCATGACACAGGACTGAGCAAGGGGATCTGGAAGCAGTGGGGTGCAGCAGCGCAGGCTCAGTGTTTCAGAGGCAAGCTCAGGGGGCGATGAGAGGAATGGAGGGAATGTGATAAGGCCAGGGGAGCATTCTGCAAGGGAAGGGGAAAGAATGAGCACGAGAAAGGAGGAGGTGTGGGGAGGCCAGGAGTGCCCCTTTCCACTGTCTCTCAGTTTCCCCTTACTGGAGGCAAGTTTGGGTCCTTCAGCTGAAACATCAGAGAACAGAGGGCTATGCCTGTTGCTTTTATGGATGAAGCAGATACCCTGACTAGTGTTCCCTCAGACATCCCAGACAGCAAGCACAGGGGACAGCATGCTGCCAGCAGCCATTCATCCTGGCCACCAGCAACCTTAGAAATAGCAAGCCTTTGTTGTCATTGTCCTTGTGTTTGTAGGTGATTTAGCCCAAGCAATGATGAAAGCCAGTAGAAATCTGTAACTTACTGCAGATGTTCCTGTGAAGACAGTACAGGTCCACAGGATCATACAGTTGCATTGTGTGGCTGTGGTGCTGCTGGATGCTGAAGGAGCAGCAGCAGTGTACCACCACTCCTTGTTAGATCTGGTGTAACATTTCTGGCTCCAGCACTAACCCAAGTGTCTGCACATTCTTATCAGCAAGCCTTGCAGGTAGCATTACATGTTTGTCAACTTGAAATAGAAATATTCCTTAACTCTGAACCTCCCTGGCCTCTCTCTTCATGTGCTAGTCTCTGTTGGTGCCAAATAGGTTTGACAAATTTATATTTAACCTTCCTGGCTATAACCTGGCTGCAATGGCTCACAAAATTCATGCCTGCAATAGCTCACAACTGTTAGAATTCAGGAAAAAAAGGCAATCAGAGAAAATCCACCATGATGCAAATGTACAAGTGAGTCTTTTAACACACTTGCTATCCCCACATACAAGCTCATGATCTGGGAGCTTTGAGGTATTAATATAACCCAAGCTCCATATCTGAACACCTGGACCTTTACAGACATTTAGCACAACTTGCATTGCGTAGCTCACAAACACTTTGAGAAAGGTGTAGGTGAAAGAGAGGTGATCTTTAAGGCCATGGATGAAGGAAGACAGTGGGATATGAGACAGACTAAACTAGACAGGCTAGACAGCTCTAGTTAGCACCTGACTGGTATTTTTTTTAGAGGATTCTTTGGCATAGTTCATAAACTTTTTGGATCATTGGTCAGTTTTAACTTTTAGTTTCTTGCAAGCTGTCATTTAACTTAAAGCACTAGAATGCTGGTACTCTACAGATTTCCTGGCCTCCCAAAGCAGACAAGACCTCACTGCTGGCACAGAAAATCCTATGTGGACAGACTGTGGTGAGGAAAAGATTTCACAACGTCAGCAGCACCCAAAGGGAGGATAAGGTGGAGCTCTCGATGAGTAATGTGAGGTTTGGTACCAGCAGGTTTAAATATCTGTGATAAAAGTTGTGATTTCATCCCGCTGTTCTGGGGAAGACCTGGCCTGCCAAGTGTGCTGTGTTCACCCTGCCTTGCTCTCACAGAAGAAAATTAGTTTTCTCACCGTTGATATTGGGGTGCTGGCCTCGGGCAAGGGAGAGTGTTACATCTGTGTTCTCACTTCATCCCACCAGCCAGCTGGCAGGCAGGCCTCCAGATCCAGAAAGGCCTCTAGATCTTTCCAGTGTTGTTTTCCAGGTGTCTCTCCCCATATTGAGTGGGCACATCTTAGGCAACCTCTACCTCTTCAAAACTGTCCTGCTTTTTCCCAAACCAGATGCTGCTTTCCTACCATCACACACATTAGCCATGCTTTCTACTGCAAAATGCATTAACAAGGGTTTAAGTCAATGTCAGGTGGGTCCCCAAGTGTTACATCCATCTGAGAGGCAGCTGAATTCTGTCTGTGCTGCAGTAAAGGGCCATGCTGGATCTCAGTGGGATATTATGACAATGTCCCAGTGAAAAGGATGTGTGATGTCATTTTAAGCTGGAGGAGAAAATGGTGAGGAGCCTGCATTAATTAGTATTAAATCACACTTGGCAGACACTGACTCCTCTGCAAAGTATCTATTGCTAGAGGGCATGAGAACATACCTGTTGAGTTGGATGGGTGAGGTGCAGAGATAGTAATACTAGGAAACAGGATTTGCACCAAGATGGTGCAGAAAGCAGCTTGATGTTCTTGGGTGAAAAATCACTGAAAAGCAAGTAGCAATGTCCATGAATTGCATCTCCATTTTCACTTGGGCAATGAAGTCATCTGATATTGAAAAGAAAATGGTTGAAGAGAAAATGGTCTGTTCTAGACAGGAAAATGCAGCTGTGATTGCTGATGACTGCATATGTGTGTTTCCCAGCATATGGAAGTGGCAATGTGTTTCTACTGTTGTTTTACCAGTAGATCTGAATGCATTTTGCAGCAGAAGTCTCTCTACAGTTAATTCCACTCTTCTATGGGGAATACAAAGTTCAGGTAGCTAAGGCACAGGTAAGGGAAGAGAGTCAGGCATTGTAGGAAATCTGCATATACTGTTTCCATCTTTAGGGACACATGATAGTTAAAGCAGACATACAGAGAGCCTTTGGCTAGATCAGGCTCTCAGTAAAGCAAACCCAAGCTGCCAGCAATTCATTGTCTCAATTTTGTGACAGCCATTTGGGTGTAAGAGTAAAGCGCTGCACAGGAATGGAAATTTTTTCTTGTTTACCTTTTTCTACCAGATGTAAACTAGAATTTCCAACTAAAAAAATGCAAGGTACCAGCATAGCTGGAAGTCTCTCCCTGGGCCCTCAGGTTGGTCTTCATCTGCTGGGAACCTCTGCCTGAGTTAGTCTTGCGGGCATGTTCAGTGTTCATATTCATGTCCTCATGAGTTTCAGGGGAAATAATGTGTCACTTCAACTTCTTTCCCCACAAATCTTTGGTTTTACCACCACCACCCTAACAAAACCCTCCAGCACTGAAAACAATAGAACATTAAACCTAAATTGATGCTTTCATTATTACTGGAATAGAAGAAAATTTCAACACAGAATTAAAAATATGTCACCTTTGCTGTGGCATTGTACGGGAACTGACATGACTTCTTATTTTGTTTGCCCATGGAAGGGAACTGTCATTTTCATTGCTAAAATATTTGCCCATTGGATGGAAATAATTACAAATGGAGCAAAACAAAATGTTTTGATTAAATACAGGGCTAGTCTTGTTTTTTTCCAGTAAATGTTCAATGTTTTCAATTCTCTTCCCCCTCCCCTGGGGATAATATAATGGACAGTTATAGATCACCTTGCATCTCAGAAGATCCCAGATTGCATAGGGATCACTACCTTTGCCACTGAAATGTTGGTACCTATGCAGCAAACAACAGTGAACAATTTATCCCCACGGTGTACTCTAGTGAAGGTGAGTCACCTTCCACAGAGCAGGGAAGTTTTCAGGAGACAGACTCCAGTTCATAATTTGTGCCAAACCCAGGGGTTAACACTGAAGTGTCATTTCTGGCTACCCTATGACTGAGGAATGAAAACCAGCAGCTGTCTGAATTCTGAATTCCAAGGATGGTGCTGGGAATAGCTGCGATGAAACAAAGTCCCACCAACTTTGATCTTGGATCTCATGCACGGGATTAAAAGGGTAACTGAGTTTGGGCCTCAGGCAGCGACATTTGGGGAAGCAGCAGGGGAATTTGCTTTGTTTTCATAGGAATTTTCTAAGCATATGATGATAAAGTGAAGATAACTCTCTTTTATCATTGCAATCCATTTATTTTAAATGTGAGTGCTTCGAGGCCCCTGCAGGATCACAGTGAGGCCATCAACAGACTTGCGGTGCTCCCTGCATGTTGCTGCTCTGGGTTGAAGAGGTGACGCTTTGGCCTCAATCAACCTTGTAAATAATAATGGAGCAAGAAAAGATTTGTTTATGCATATCCAAACACTTTCCTCATTCCTTCTGCTTTCTCCCAAGTCTGGTGTGATCAGTTCATATACCTGCCACTTTCCTGCGATATGAGCAGCTGCCAGAACCCCCTCTGGCTCTTGTCAGTCTGGCTCAAGACACCTTTGCAGGAGTGGCTCCAATAGAAGAGAGTGCTGTCCATAAGATACAGCATTCAAACTCCACCATTGTCAGAGCAAAGAATCATATTTCCCCCACCCCTGCCCTCTGGGTAAGAAAAGGCAAACATGTCATAAAAGTACCATAATAAGTCTGCTGGAGATGTCTTTGCAGCCTCTTTCTCCACCCCAAATTGGAATGTACCTAAGCTCCTTCTGGTCTGCTTGTTTCTTTTTTCTGGCAGCCCTTGGGGAAGGCACCTAATACCTTTTTGCAAAGATTATTTATGAACTCAGAATGCCAGGAACGTGTCTTTGACAATTAGTCTGTACAATATGTCCTTAGCCCTCCTGTCTGGCACCTAATGGTGTCAGTCCACAATGCTCAGATTTCTTTGGCTTTGCGCTGTAAGCCGGATGTACATGATCCTGGGTTGCTTCCATGTAAGCAGAGTACTGTAATGACCAATGAGATGCACTTGTATGACTTACATGGTAGCATCCCAGTAGTGCACAGTTCCTGGTGATTTCTGCTTAGGTTCTAGGAAAAATGTCTAGTGAAAAGAGAAAGATCACTGCTAGCCCTGGAGTAATACCTGCACAGCACCCTAAGGTTGCTTGTACCACAGAGGGTGAGCTTGCTTGATCTATAGTATACCATCTCCTACCTAGCACCACTCCCTTCTGTGAGGTCTGTATTAATTAGATGCACCTATGGGTCCAAGTGGTAGCTCTGCCTGTGTACCCAGCTCTAAGGTTAAAGAGCATGTTTGTATCAGAGAGACAGCTGTAGACACACTTTGTATCAAAAAACCCTAAACCCCTTCTTTTGGATGAAAAACACTGGCTTAGTTAATATTTCTGCCTTTTCAGGATCAAGATCACAGCATAAAATCTTCTGAGAGAAGCTTGGTGGGTTTGCCTCTTATCTGAAAGAAAGAGGGAAAGGTTACATTTTCACATCTTTATAGTGTTTCCTATCCCCTGTGAATCTGGAATACTTTATAAATGACGTAGATCTTGGTCTCAATGTAACAGCATGAAATGAAATTCCTTATTCCCAGTCAAGACTTTGAGACAAAATGGAAAACAGTGTATCCAGCTGAAACCATAGGGCAGAAACTGATCTGAGGACGAATTTGGTCTGGCTGCAAATATTAACATCTATTTTCAGTCAATACTAGATGACCCTTAATGATTGTAGTTGCATAAACCCTCCAGTTTTATGTTTAAATCAAAGTGCAGTATCTCCAGCACAGATCCTGCAGCCTATCCTCTGCCATTTCCGTGTGTATGCTGTACCATAAAGCCTTCTATGACTTGGGAGTTAATCATGAACAGCAAACTCTAGAGGTGCTGAGAATCTCGGTGAAATATTGGGAATTTTGACAGAAATCTGGCGTGGAGAGGATATGCACTGACATGGCAAAATACTTAGTGAGTTCATCGAGGCTGGGATTCCCTCCAGTTACCCCTGGATGTTTTGCTGGCCATCTGAGCCCCTCTTCAAAGCTTCACCTACAGCTACTCCTGAACCTCTGCATCCATTGGTTTGTTTTCACTGAAGACCCTGATGCATCATGGAAGACCAGCATTTTCTGAATGCTGGCAGAAAAGATGGGACTTGCTGATGCAAGACAAGATACCCGAGCATGCAAAAGGACTTTACTGTAAACAGTCTCTTAAAATTCATTTTAAAAGGAGAAAGCGATGAAGGGAGGAAAACCAAAATATTCAGAGATGCTGACTTGCCATCTATAGTCATCCTCCCTCGCTGGTAATTAATCTTCTCCCCCTTTGAGCCCAACAGACCAGCTACACACATTCCTTATTCTCTTTATTGCTGGAAAGAAATTTGATTTTTGGCATGCCTTTTGTAGGATTCAAAATACCTTTGTGCTGTGGTGAGTGTGAAGGAAGGGAGTTTCACTCCTCAGCAGATATGCTAAAAGCATAGCATGTCTTATGGGATGGGCTCTCACCCCACCCAGGTTGCAGGGAACCATTTGTGTCTGCCTGATCCCACAGCTCTGGCATACCCTGGACTTACAGGCTGGAGACACTGGGTCTGTGTATATTTCTGCATGTTGCTGGAGATCAATAACTCTTGCAAGGTGGAAGTCCCTTCTGAGTCATCAAAAAAATCAGTATGTAGGAATCAGGAGGAATGGGATTTCAGATGAAATAGTAACTTCCCATTACCGTCTGCATGCAGCCAACTGAGTAGATTTTGGGTCTTGTATTACAAAACATAAATAAATCACAAAGTACAATTGCAAGCAAACCACGTACAATGTAGAATTCTCTGAAGGCGATCTAAGCCTAGTAAAGGTGTTGACTAAACCCTGTGAAAAGGTTCTTAATGGTACTGACAAGTCCTTTTCCACCATAGCTGTGGTTCAAGAGGCCTTCAAGAAGGCAATGTGAACAGGAATCTGGCCCTTCTTATTGCTGGGGTTAAACTACAGTCTTGCTAATGATGCAGCATTTCCTTATATTTGTAATGATAATTAAATGGATAAAGAACATCTACCTGGTGATAAAGCCTGTATCTAGCCCAGTTCTGAAGGACTTACAATAAAAGACTGATCATTTCACACAAACCACCTGTCATGCAATGTGGCTGAATCACAGTGATGAAAAGCCATGAAAGAAGGAGCCAATTTACTACCTATGAACAGACTTTTGTGAACACCACAGTGCTTGAACCACTACTCACATGTTGTCAGTGCTGGGTTTTGCCTTTACATAGGTGTCTCCCTGCTCTGTGCTCTCAACCTGTAGTAAGATCTCAACATGCATGTACGTTGAGCTCACGGATGTCTGTGTTCCCCCTTTGCCTGCAAGCAAAAATTTCAGAAGAATTTTCCTTTAGCATGACTTAGAGGTCATTATCTCATGTGACACTCAAAAATGTAATCATTCCTGGTTAGAGTTAACTCTGACTATGAGGAGAAGCAGAGAGCTGGTAGGTGAGGACTCTGAGCTTGCACCTCTGTGGGTTGCTGTGCAGCACACGCAAAGCTGCAGCTTGTGATTAGCTTTTCCAGATCCCTTAAACACAGTCTCTGACCTCTCGGCATCCAGTGGGTCACAGGCTGCAGTCAGTCATGCTGTGGCCCCCAGACTTCACCGGCAGATTGGCAAGAGTGCTGGGCAGGTAGCAAGCTGCAGCACACCAGGATTTCTGTGCTTGCCCTCTCTGCCTCACCTGTAACATTTTAATTTCTTGCAGCCACAAGCAAAGAGGTGGTTTATGGACCAGGAGCTTTGTCCAATGGGGTTGGATGCCAACCAGTGTTTGGAGCCATCTTGCCCATGTGGGGTACCTTGATATGAAGCCGTAAACTCTGATCCAAGTATGTATTCACATCAAGAGAGGGCAGCCTGTATTTTTGAAGCAGAGGGTTATCAGGATGAGTGCCATTCCTCATCATGCCTGAAGCTGGTGCCAGTGTGAATACACAGCCACAAATCACTGCAAAGAGCCAAACAGTTATGGGCAGAGAAACTAGGAGAGGATTTTGTTACAGTTACCCAAATGTAAGCCAGGAAACATCCTGCTGACAGAACTTTGCTTGAAAGATTTGGACCAAGGGATCAGCTGGATAAAAATGTCATTTCTTACCAGATGCTGTATTCTCAGTTACAAGCAGAAGTGCTGTTAACATCCAGACCGTATCATAGTGAAAAAAACACAAGCAATCTTTTAAGAAATGGATGAATAAAACCTGTGTATTTAAGCACCAGGCTAAAGGGCTCCATGTAACTGTCAGATTAATGTGGTGATTTTTTTGGCACTTGCAGCAGCTTTTTAAGGAAGGATCCTGGCCCCCAACAGAATTGCTTACCTGTTGAAGTGTGACATCATGCTATCAATTGTTTTCCCTGACAACCCTGATCCTGCTCTCTCTTGTCTGAGCGGCATGCTGCAACAGGAGCTAGAAAACAGCGAACTCTGTGCCCCAAAAAACACCTTGGGATGTTGATGTACAGAATGGTGCATGGTGTTATTTAGATGTCTGTGTAAACAAACAAATATAGCTGATTAAAGCTGTATGGCCACAGAGGTTTTTGCCTCCCTCTGCACACCCCACCCTTTTCTTTGCAGTTATGGGGATTTCAGGTTACTCCAAAGGCCAGGTTGGAAATGGGTGTCTCAGGGGCTGCTCTATATGTGGTTCAGCTCCTCCTGGTGGAGACATAGCAAATCTGGAGGAAGACTGCATCGCTGTAGCATATTTTTCGTTATTTGGTGGGATGTTTCAGCCCAGCCATCAGCAAATGCCATTCCTAGTACCCTGCAGCTCTGACTGATAGCTTAGAGAACTTGATTGCTTATTTAACACAGAGGGAGTGGCACACAAATGTGCTCCTACTTCACTGATCAATACGTCTTATGTTACATATTTCAGGCCCACAAGCCACACAACTAAACTTGAAGGCAACAGCAGTTTCTTGGAGACTGTGCAGCCATCTAGCGTTACTGTGTATATAGCATGCTGGTTATCTGCTGAGACCTCAGACAGCTTCAGTGCTTTTTTTCCTGCATGTCTCCCAGCTGGATGTTTAAGTTACAGGAGATTTTGTTAAATGTGCCAATTCACTGATCTTGATGGTGTCTGAAATTTCTGACTACCTAAGGATTGTGGTTGTGGATGGAGAAGAGGATGCTGCTATGGTATTTTTTTTAGCCATAGCAAGTACAGGGTGTTACTATCAGGAAGAGCAACCAGGGTGTCTGTGGCTGCTGCTGCTGCATTTTAGCAATCACTGAGTCTTAAGAAAAAAAAAAAAAAAAAGCAAAAAGGGAAAAAGAAAAACTACATTTAAATTTGAAGAGCAGTGAGCAAGTTCAGGGATGCCACTGCTATCTGCCACAGTTTTGGAGACTTTTTCATTTGCTCAGGAATAGGAAAGCCTTGTACCCACGTTGTGAAAGAGCAAGACAAGGGCAAAATAGCTTGAATCTGAATGCCTCACTTTTCACATCTGGAGAAAACCATCTTATTTCAAAGTCCCAGCTTCCTCTTCGGTCGTTCAGCAGACAGGGCAATTAGTACAAGGAACTACTTTTACAGTTTGTAGTAAATTAGTTAGACAACCTGTGCAGGCAAGGAGCAGGCTGAAACAACACACATTCTTGTATTGCATACCAGAGTGACAAGTAAATCTCAAAGGTGACAACCCAGGGTTACTGTGACTTAGCAGCAGCCTCTTGGCAAACCTGAGAACAGAACCGTCTTTGTTTACAATCTGCATTTTTCTAACTCTTATCTGCTCTCTTGCGCTGTAATTTCCCCCAGCCCCCTCTGCTCACTAGGTTCGTCTTTCTCTGCTCCTTGCATTACACTGTATAAGTGTCCAGGTGTGTCATGAGGAACTTTAATCTTCTGAAACAAAAGGTGATGAACTGGTGACTTTCTGCACTGCAGCAACAAGTCACCAACTACTGAGGTAAAAGAAATTGCTTCTAGATAGAAGTTATACATTACAACCTCTTTGCTTGAGCTAAGCAGCAAGTAGAGATTTATACCATGGAGACACATCCTTTTCTGGATCCTGCTGCACTTATGGATGGTGCTACCAGCTCTGGCTTTTTAACATCCTTTGCTGATGGAAATAGCCTTATTCCCAACCCTTAGGAATCTACCCCATGAACAATTTACATAAACATTGCCTTATTCCCCTTGTTACCTAAGACATTAATATCAAATATAGAAACTGCAGTCTCTAGAGCAGCTGGAGAGGAGCAGTGACAAGCAGCAATTACTCATTCCACAGTAATTGCTGGATCTGGATGAGGATGTTTGTCAGCATCACCTTACTCACGTGTGCTAAACCAGGATAAGAGCAAGACTGGACATGAATCTTTTGCACATTCCCCTTCTAAGTTTCTGTCTGTAGGACATTAAAACCAGACCATGGTATGTGTCCAATAGGCTCTAGCCACAGTTGACTGATCTGGTAGCATTTACCTGGAATACTTTTTTTTAAGTCACATTTTACAAAATCTTTCACTTCATCAGTTTTTGTGGATATTGGTTATTTCAGTGTCACCAAAGATGTAGCTTTAGTTACTATTCTGTCATTTATTTCTGATGACTTTTACCAATAAACACGGAAAATAATATTCCAGCCCTAAATTATGACTAGTTGAACACAGAAACACCCTGCACACAAAGGAAATACTCCCCTAGAGGCTAACAGAACTGCTTTCCTGTTGTGGTGCTTAGTATCTTGGGACTAGTGGCTGGGGTGGTGGGAAGGAGGGTGAGAGCTGTTACACAATGGCACAGTCTCTCCCTGCAAAACTGAATGGCATTCATGATGCTGAGTAGCCCACAGGGAGTCACAGCTGCACTACCCACCAGCAAATCCCTTCCTGCCCCAAACAGCTTTCAGACAAGGTGTTGGGCAGAGCAGGAAATGGTTGAAACACAATTGTCTGATTTAAGTGATAATCTGGGGTAAGGTGGTTTATGTCTCACAATTCTAAAAACGGCTTTAAGTACATTACAAAATAATGTGTATGGATACCAAAGTGAAATGGAACATTTGTATTATGTATTTTACGTAGAGGCTTATTTTCTTTGGATAGGAGATATAAATTGTGCTGCTTCGAATTTCCGGGCAGAACAGGTTTTATGGTGGTTTGTGAAAGAAGCAGAGGCGTTAACATTTATATCGCAGCCCAAATCTTTGCAGTTTCATTTTCCTGAGTGCTCCTGAAGTTCCAACTACATCTTCATCCATGCTTCCTGCTTGCAACTGCTGTTAGGAGCCACTTAAGCCACCATCATATTCCAGCTTGGACGCATTCCAGTTGTCATCTAGGTGATTATTTTGCTTTAGTTTGGAAAGCACATTAGGTCTCACAGAATTAAAGGTGCCTCAGAAAATAAAGGTTTTCTTTTTTTATTTACCATGATGTCTTGAGAATAGTTTCAAGTGAGACAGAAGGCTGGAAAAGCCTGCATTCAATTGCACAATGCCAGTAAAATAACCTTATTAGGGGTTTAAGAACATTCCCTCACATCCATGCAGAACCATCCCAAGTTAGCCTCCAAACTGTGCCTTACAAAGCAGAATCACTTTCCACAAACACATTACAACATCCAGAATCAGCCTTTAAAGATTTGGGAATGAGAAGAATGCCATCCACCTCAGTTATTACTAGACTTGTTTGCTCTTCTGCTTCTTCTTTCCTCCCCCTCTCTCCCTTTCCAGGTTTCTATTTAGAACCAGGAGGAGCTCTGGTACCCTTGTTCGCAAGTTTCAAATAGCGATCCATTTTGACACGTGCCAAGAAATTAGTAGCACAGCAATTTTTTTATTTTTTATGGATTTGAGGTGATAAGCTCAAAGGTATTTTGACAGCTTGTGTTATTCAGGTGACGCTGAAGTGTTTGTGTTATGAACAACTAGAAATATTTACTTTGATACAGACTGTTTTGGAAGGAGGGGTTTTCCACTGGTGAAGGAAGCACAGCTGTCCCTTGGGTTTTAAGCGTTCCTCTGCCCTCTCGCGGCACAAAGCAAATGTTCAAAGTATTTCAGTCCTTGCACGGCGGACATTATCAGCCCTTGCCACATTCACGCTCTCCAGGTGGAGATCCAGTGACGCGTACCGGTGCCGCTCCTGTCTGCGGAGGAAAGCAGGATTATGGAGCCGACAGTAACGGCCTACGACGGCCCTCTGAGGACGCGCTGTACCCCACAGGACCCCAAACACGGCTGAACTGGAACAACGACCACCAACCACGACAGAGGCTCCCCAGGCTCGCTGCAGAGAGTGGAGGTCCCCCGCTGGTAGGGAGGACAGGCAAGCCCAAGAGCGCTTCAACACTGCAGCTGCAGTCGGGCCAGAGGAGGAACAGCAGCAGCGCAGCTGCAGCGCGCCGAGGCGCAGAACGACAGGCGGATGTGCCCGTCTTCCGCCAGGACCCAAGATGGCTTCCCGGCGGGCCACAGAGGGGGTGGAGCGGGCTGCCTCGCGAGAACGCCGCCACCTCTCGCGCGGCTTGGTCTAGCGCGCGGTTTTTTGGTCTCGCGAGGTAGGTGCCGTGGTGCGCGCGGGAGTTTGGGCCGTGTGTGTGGCGGGAGCGCACCGCTTTGAGCTCTAGTGGCCCCGGCGCTCGGCCATGCCGGCCCAGAACACGGCGAGCAGCGGCGGTGAGGGCAAGCTTGGGGGCGGGCGGGATCGCGGTGTGTGAGGGCGGGCACACCAAGTAACCGTGCGCTCGTTGTAGAACCGCTGGGAGTGGAGATGGGGGAGCAGGCGGAGGCGGCGGTGATCACGCCGGCCATGCTGAAGGAGGAGGAGCAGCTGGAGGCGGCGGGGCTGGAAAAAGAGCGGCAGATGCTGGAGAAGGTGAGGGGCGTCTTGAGGGCACGGCACATGCGGCTGTCCGCGGGCTCGTGGGTCCGAGCGCCGTGCCGTGGCTCGGCGGAGGCTGTGGGCCGGGGCCGGGTGTCTGCAGCCCCATTGGTTTCAAAACAAACAAACGTGGGAGGCTGGTGAAGTTCTGGGCGGCGGCTGTGATTCACAAGTGCCTTTGATCATCCACTGGAGTGTTTGGGTTTTTTTTCCTTCTAAAGGCTAACGGTGGCCTCTCGCAGCCAGTAAGAAGCCTACTGCATTTTTTACGCATTTAAGTTTGCAGTGAGGAAATTATTACCTGTTGATTTTTGTTGTTCTGAGTTTAAGAAAATTATAATGTTGTGCCTTCAGAAAGTGTAGTAAGATAAGTATGAATTTCTACATGAAATATTAAAGGGAAGTGTTTTTTTTTTTTGCGTTTCCTGTGTGTGTACATAACGCTTCTTTTCCTAGTTTTGCTCCTTACTGTACGAAACAAACAAAAAAACCCCAGCCTCCCCCACCCCCACAAAAAACCCAAACCAATCAGACTAACTGATGACCTCATACAAGCCTGCAGGACTGTCAGCTTCAAACTGACTGGAGATAGATTTAGAGTTGTCATTAGGAAAAATTCTTCACTACGAGGGTGGTGAGTTGCTGGCACAGGTTGCCCAGAGAAGCTGTGGCTGCCCCATCGATGACAGTGTTCAAGGCTGGATGGAGCTTTGAGCAACCTGGTCTAGTGGAAGGTGTCCCTGACTGTGGCAGGGGTGTTGGAACTAGATGAGCTTTAAAGGCCTTTCCAACCCAAACCATTCTGTGGCATCTCTATAGATACCTTTCATCCTTTGCAGAAATAAGCATTATTTTTGGTAGCAGGTATAGTTTAGGCAGCATCAAGGAAGTGGCCTAGCCAGAAAGGATCAATTTATTGTCAGTCGTTCGCCTTGTCTGCTCTTTGCTGCATGCAGTTGTGCAGGCACCCCTGAGTTAAGGAGAGCAGGAGCTGCTTGGGCTGGCCTTGCTGCCAGAAGAAATGGACATTTGATCATCTGGAGAGTCAACGTTTTAGTCCTGTTATGTTGCAGGAAATACAGACTGTATCAGGGAAATGATACAGGGCTAATTCAAGTGACCTAATCATCACTACATTTCGTTTCTCTCTCACTGTGAATGTTTTCTTATGTTGAAAATAAGTATTGGTTGATATGAACCAATTTTGGAGAGAGAAGATGAAAACATCATGCTTCTCAGGCTCTGCTGATACAAATTATCAAGCTATTGCCATACTACATAAGATACTGTATTTCAGGTGTAAGGAAATAAGGCCTGAAAAAACTCTTAAATGCTTTTGGGAATTGTATTCTGACTAACTAGTGCTATTACTTGAAATACTCGAGAAATAAGTTTTTTTTTCCCATCTTAAAAATTGAAGCATTAGTATAAGGGGATGAAAAATACAGTTTCTAAAACCTGGAACTAATTTTAATTTATCTTTCCTTTAGCTAGGAAAAACTGATTTATAAAGGTGGTTTTAGGCTGCAGCATTTTGTGATGCTATAGTTGGAAAATAATACTTTATTTTCGCAGAAATCTTACAATCTTTCTTCTTGCAAACAATAAGTCATTGTGGAGCTTGTCTGAACTTCTGTACAGGTATTTGATCAGACTTGAAACTAAAAATTTGGAGGCAGTGCTTATAGAGGCTAAGAAGGGAAGGAACTCTTGTAGAGCAGATTATCTCATTGCACAGGAGGTGTTGACAAAAGGACTTAGAATTTCATTTCTTTAACAACCACTTCTGCAGCAATGCTATAATGTGATACTCCTGGGGGTTTCTGTATTCTCAATTTCTTCAGAATCCATGGAGCTTACCTGTAGCAAGAGTGTTGCTGTATGTTCCTATGTGGTTCTGTTATGCTTTCTCTGTGCAATCTGGCGGTAGTGAGACCAGAGGAAATTACTCTTGTAGTTAAACCCAGGCATACTGGCACCTCACAGGCAGCTGATGTTTTCGAAGCATCTGGGTTTCTTATGCTTCTCACTTAAGCAAGCTCCCTGCCAGGTGATTTGAATAGCAGTTCAACAAAGCAGTCACTTATGCTTTCTGTGGGCTGATGGCAATATTCCACTACACAAATATATACGAACGTAGAGTGATGAAAGACAGTGGCAAATTTTTGACCTTTTTAGTCAAAAAAAGGGAGGGGGGAACCCACTTTCTTGACACTTTAAGGTTTGGGTCAAAGGACAAGATGGAAATAATAAGAATTCCATGCTGTTTGTCATCTTTGAGGTTTCTGTTTTCCCCTTGATATTTTCGCAGTTGGTCAAGGTAACAGTCATTCAGATTGGTCGAATAATGTAAGGATGCTGTGTTCAGTAAAAACTGAGCAATAGTTATTTGCTGAATGAAGTAGTTTAATTTTAATTATATTTGCTCTTTGCACTGCCACCAAAGGTTGATCTTTCTGAGCTCAGGTTCTTTTCATCTGAAGGAAAAAACCTGTACTGGGGAGAGCAGAAGTGAGTAGAAACTATGGAAAATCACAGGCAGGCAATCTCTTCCTCCAGGAAACTTGTGGAGATAGATTCTTCCTCTCCTGAAAGGATCCAATGGTAGCTACTTGATAAGAATGACATGGAGTATTACTTGTGGAAAATAAAGGTGTGATTTCTCTGGGAGATAAACATGCCTCCCCCATTCTTGAGTCACATACCACCTAATTCGGCTAATATCCTTTTTCCGTGTCTGTTAACTCTAGTTTCAGAAGGTTCCCTTGCTTTTCTGTTTTAGCGTGCCCTTCCCCCAGAGTTTCTTCTGAAGGCAGTGGCACAGATAAGCATCTTGTAAAGCTCTGCATCTTGCCTTCCTGGGGTTTCTCTTGGAGATGCTAATTTTACCGTTTCAGTTGTTTGATACCTCAGTCTAATGGGCAATGTTAGATGAATGCAGAAGGGTGAACACTTTTTTACTTTTGGGTGGGAGTTTTGATCTGAGTTTTAAAGAACAATTGGAAATCCACTAAATGCACATCCTTGACTATTTCAACAGAAGTTACTTTTAAAAGCATGTGTGGATTTTCTAAGCAAAGTAAGCAGAAATTGCTGTTTTCCCATTAGGAATTGACCTGTGTAAATTAGGCATAATGGGTTTTGTAGTCTTCTGAATATCTTGTTGATAATGGAAAACTGTACCTTTGTGCAAATAGTTGGCACGTGAAGGAGTCCCAGCTAGCACTTGGTGAAATTAATTATTGCCAGGTGGATTCTTTCTCCCCCCCCTTCTCAAATTTTGCAGGTTACAAATGAACTTCAGTTTCAGTTTGCTCTAAATCTATTACATTTGAGACACCTTTGAGCCCTTGAATGCCTTGTGCTACTGCACTGGTGTGTGTGTGTGTGTGTGTTACAGAGCTCTGTTTATGTATGCAACTGAACGCAACCCTCAGTTACTTTGATTTTTACAGAACTTTGTAGGTACATGTGAGTCCCTACACTCGGGACTTGTACACCTATAATTGAGGGAAGGGAAAGGGTGTGCATGTGTGAGACAATTGTAGCTATCCTGTAGAAGAACCCTTCGATGTATTAAAAGCCTTCACTCTGAAACATCTGTAAGTACTTGACATCTCTTTGTGTTGGTTAGGCTCGCACTTCTTGGGACAGGGAGTCAAGTGAAATGCGCTATAAGAGGCTTCAACATCTGCTGGAAAAGAGCAACATCTATTCCAAATTCTTGCTAACGAAAATGGAACAGCAGCAATTGGAGGTAGGTGTATCCTTGTCTGCAGTGGGGATACTTAAGATATGCTGCCATCTGGTTGTGTTTTGGTCATTTGTTGTTTTGGTTTTGTGTTTTTTTTTTTGTCATCCAACTGTTTAAAATGAAGTAAAAATGCTGTTAACAATAACAGCATGAAAATCCACTGCCCACCCATGAAGTGGTGCTTTATATAATATTCAGAATTTGTTCTATAGATTAATAGCTAAATCGGACTGGGAATAGCATGAATTAAAATCACAGTGTAAAAATGGCACTGATATCTTTACAATTATTCTGTTGGTCTGAATGCTAGGAAGGAAAAATAAGCTTCAAATAAGAAACAAAGCTTAAGAGAGTTAGAGGATAGAAGACACAAAGAATTGACAAGAAGTTGTGCAGCCTATTTGTGTTAATTACTGAAGGCTGAGGATGATGTGTCTCTTCAGAGGATGCTAATGTAGGCCTCCCTCAAACAAATTTATGAATTAGAGTGATCTGAGGCCATGATGTTACTAAACAAGAGCTTCCATAAAATGATGTGGAGTTTTGTGGTTTGTCGATTTTGTTTTGGTTGGTTGGTTGATCAGGGTTTTGTTTGCTTGGTTGTTTAATCCATGGGCTGCTGACTTCATTTTTATCTTGACTTTCTTAACTGTACCTTTGTGGACAAGCTTATAAGAGTTTATGCTTGAGAGAGGGGGCAGTGACTTAGTAAAAAATGAGACTGGCAGACTGCAGGAATCTCCTTTCTGTAGT